TAGTGACACCGGCCGACTCAACTGAAGCCGACTGACTGCCGAGGAGACCTTGACCACCTTCTCCCGAGGAAGGAAAATCTTCTGCTGGTTGGAATCTAAGATGTACCCAGATAAGTAATTACCTGAGAAGGCTCCAGGTTGGACTTCTGAACATTCAAAATCCATCCCAGCCCCTGAAGCCAACTCCGGGTCACCGCTAAATCCCTCCGCAGCTGCCCCGCGGACGGTGCTGACAGGAGGATATCGTCTAAGTAAGGAATTATATTTATCCCTTGTAATCATAACAGAACCAGGGCCTCCCGCAACACCGTAGAAAAAATTTGAGGCGCTGAAGAGAGACCAAATGGCAGAGCCCTGAACTGGAAGTGGTGAACAGTTGGACCCATCCTTACCGCTAGTCTCAGGAACTGCTGGAAAGCTGGGTGTATCGGGATATGGAGGTAGGCATCTCACAGATCCAGAGACGCCAAGTATGCTCCTGGCTGCAAGATGTTTTTTATAGAAAAAGATTGACTCCATCCTGAATCTCTTGTATTTTATGACCACGTTCAGGGGCTTCAAATTTAGTATCAAATCGATACTGGCCAGAGGGTTTTAATACCAAAAACGTGAGTAAAACCCCCTTCGTTCTTCCAGAGCCGGAACTCTGGAAATGACTCTCTGGTCCACTGGATCTCCCAGCAAAAGTGACAACACTTGCTTTTTCTTCCTGACACGGGAGGTGCGTGACTAGAAACCTTGTGGGATGTAAACCGGTGAACTTCAGCTTGTAACCCTCACTGATCAGGCTTAATATGAACTGGTTGGAGGTAATCTTCGACCACTGAGGGAAGAATTCCTCCAATCTCCCGCCCACTGGAAGAAGACAGCCATTGGGGCTTTGGCAGAGGGTGCGTTAAACAGAATCCCCTTCTTCCTCTACCTTTCTGACCCGTCCAATGCTTCTTGGGTTTGTCCCCTTTATTTTCCTGAGGCCTACCCTTCTGGTTCCCGAAATTTTTTCCAGAAAGGCTTTTTCTTCTTTTCAGGAAAAGCCTTTTTGTCAGCTGTTCTCTCTAGAATATGCGCTAGCTCTGCCCCAAAAAAGCAAGTCCCCTGAAAAGGGGAGATTACATAACCGCAACTTTGAGGCGGCATCTCCCTCCCATGCTTTTAACCACAGGGCCTTGCGGGAAGAGTTAATATGAGCTGATGATCTGGCAGTCATGCGTACCGATTCTGCTGAGGTGTCTGCGATATAACCTACCGCCCTGAAGAGCATAGGCAGCGACTCCAAGAGCTGTGCCCTCGGGGTACCTGCCATCAGATGCGTTCTAAATTGCAAGAGCCAAAACTCTTAAGTTCCTGGCAACGCATGTGGTAGCCAGAGCAAATTTAAGGTTCATGGAAGAAGAGGCCCATGTTCTCTTCAAAAGAACCTCAATCTTCTTATCCATGGTGTCCCGTAAAACTCCCATGTCCTCAAAGGCTAAGTCAGATTTCTGAGAAACCTTAGCCAACAGAGCATCCAGCTTTGAAGATTTATTCCACACCAAGGCTGGATCCTCGAAAGGAAACCTCCGTTTGAGATTTCCTGACTTCAGAGGCTTTCTCTCAGGCTCAGCCCACTCCTTGAGAATAGTCTGACAAAAACCTTATGTACCGGGAAGCACTTGAAATCTTTTTAAGCTGCAAACCCTGATACATAAGGTCGTGACTGGATAACTGTACTTGCTCTTCCTGGATCTCTAACATGCTATAGATTGCAGTCAGTAATTCATCCACATCCTCTAAGGATAATTTATACCAGGAAGAGCTAGGTACATAGTCTATTACACTCTTCCTCTGATGACAAACCCACCATGAGAAGGACCAGGCTCACTAAGATCCTCCTGCTCCTGACAGCCCACCCTGAGTAGAAAAGACAGGAGCAGAAAAAAGGCAAAGGGGTAGAAGCAGCTGTGGGAACTGGAGCCCGGAATCCCTCTAAAACAGACCGGAAGGAATTAAATGTAGCAGATAACTCCTCAACTGAAACTAACAGGTAACTACTGGCTGCAGCAGACTCCTCCCTAAGAAGACCCTCAATGCACTTCTGACAGAGCCTTAACATAACCGGAGCTCAACTTCACCGCACAAACTTTGGGGCCACCTTCGTTTTTTCTTTAGCCTGAAAGAAACCAAGGAGCCATTTAACAACTGTCCCTTACTCCAAAAAAGGGTTAGAGTGCCCCTCAACAACAAAGCATCTTGGTGCTTGGAAGACCAGAATCCGCAGTCGCTGCAAGGGTAACCCAGGATCCATGTCAGCAGAGTCCTTAAAAGAAGCCTGCCAGCGTTTCTTCTCAGTCACTACTGAGATCCACGCTGTATTTAGCACCGCCTGAGCCCTCCCCTTCCTCCTGCGCCAAAAACAAAGCCTGGAACGCACAAGCCCGGAAACGATGTACGCGGCCACCCGGGGAAAACTTTCCCGAGGCCTGGAGAACCGGACAGACCCCTCTGAACAGCGGCCCACCGATTCCCCTGACCTAGCCAAGGGGGTTTCATCCTCCCGGTCCTGGCCTGCACTGGGCACTGAAGCTGGAAGCCTCATCTCCTGACAGCGCTAGGAGAATCCCTAGGGCTCACAACAGGTAGGCAAACATACACCATCTGCCCTACATAGGCAGCCATTAAGAAAAGGAGACTTCCCGGGCAGCATCACCACATGGAAGCCCCTCAGCGTTCTGTGACGCGCTCCCCAGCTTGACTGAGGAAACACAAAAGACTGAGGGAGTGGAGGAGGGTCTTGAGTTTAAGTGACGCGTTTCCTGTGTGTGGGGGAGGAGATTCCATCTCGTGATGCTGTCCTGGAAGACGCTATGGGAAAGAAGTTATGCTTCTCATGCTGATGGATGTATAGAGGCAACCAGACCCTCTACATATGGGTCATGCTCTGCAGTATTACTTTGAAGCAAACACATCAGGGACTCCATGTGATTGCCTTTTGTAGCAAGGGGCCAATCTGCATCGCCTAAAACAGTGGAGGCAACCTTGGCACTCCAGCTGAGAAACTACAAATACCATAATGCCTCTGCAAGTCGTGGCAGTCAATCTTGCAACACCTCATAGGACTTGTAGTTCCAAAACAGCTGGAGTGCCAAAGTTGCCTACACCTGGCCTAGAACAATGTTAGCAAAGCTGGTTAATATAAGCAAACAAGATTAAATATCTACAATTCCAGTAGAGCAGAGGCCCATTCTAAGTAACTGAAAGACCTGGGCAGACGTCAAAAGTTACCAGAAAGTTTATGTAAGGCAGCGCTACAGTCCTCTGCACACACTTAATTACCGAATTGATCCAGCATCTAACAAATCTTTGAAGTATTTTCACCAGTGTACAAGTTAGTCAGCTTTAGCGTAGATGCACCACATTCAAGTTATGCATCATAAATAAGCAAGTTTTGTTCTCACTGATCAACTGTCATACCAAAAAAAAACAACCAATTTCAGTTGGCATCAAACAGGTAAAAAGGCCTCACCTATGCATCTGAAAAATTGCCCATTTTAGACCCATATGATATGAACACCAATACCCCACTCCTTAGCACAGCTTGTCAAATAACTTCCAATCACACTTCGAATCTAACATACGATTGGAGGCCACTGCAACTAGTACAAAGGCTTGGGGGGGGGGGGGGCATTTTCCCCCTTTGTCTAACAGAA